CATTTAAACTGTTAATTTTTCCCTTAGAGACTTGTGCAAGTCTAGTTAGCAGTGTTTCCGTGACCCTTGTTTTCTGTGGTACTGTCTTCAAAACCTTTTTTTTTATATCCAGTTTTGAATACTTTACTTTCTTTTTGTCCCACAAGTTAGATACAGTAAAATCACGTAAATGCGGGCCCCATTAATCCGGAACCCCATTTACCGGACGACTGTGTTGGGACTCTTAATACGGACATTTGTTAATCCGGTCTATTTTCGGCGTGGCGAGCGAACGCTTTAACCAGAATGCTACCCCACCGCCGCTAACTGACTTTAAAGGATCTTTACCGCCACTGTATTACAATGTCTTCATATGTATGGTATGGGGTCATGGGACAATAAGCAAAATATTCAGAGGGTCAGCTCTGAAATAATCCAACACACCATCACATACCGCCGTCACATTTACAACGTCTTAATGTCCCTCTCCTTCTCCATCACATCACACTTTAAACAACTCCCAGTGTTAAGGCCTAACAACATCGATACATTCACTTCACCATACATACTTCAATGAAACCTCTGACTGGATTCATATATAGCTTTATGTAAAGATCTTGTGCATTCAATACCGATATTATAAGGCAAGTGTTCAGTGAAACCTCTGACTGGATTCATATATAGCTTTATGTAAAGATCTTGTGCATTCAAAACCGATATTATAAGGCTAGTGTTCAGTGTGCTTAGACTGAGCCATGCATACACACACGGCATACTTCGAAAAGGTGAAACTTCCATTGTCCAATGTGACCTAATTTTACGTCGCCTTTTATCGGTCGTTTCATATGAATATATTTCCAATTCATTGCTTCGGATTGTCCGGTTCTATCAATAAAGGGTTTGAAAGAAAATGATGTCCTTCTCAAGGTCAGTGGGTGTTTCGGCCCGTGACAGTTTATGATGGTGCTGTGATGAAGGCTATGAAGTGCTATCAATACCATCACGGCAATGAAAGCCATATGGTAGACTTATAGTCTGGTCTCACAGTCCCTGAACCTCATTATTTTCCCTAAAGCCTACATTGTAGCCCTCCTAGTCTGTCTCACAGTCCCTGAAGCACATTATTGTCCCTACTGCCTGGCCCTCCTGCAATGCTAAAGCCCTAAATGAAGCAAGTCTAGATTTCCCCAGGTTCAGGATTTCCCAACTCACTGGGGCTCCTTTTCAATTTAAATGTACTATTTCTTTCTGAATCTCTGATCTACCCAGGGGAGACTAAGCATTAGTCTACAGCCTTCCCTACAATGCTAAAGCCCTAAATGAAGCAAGTCTAGATTTCTTCAGGTTCTGAATCTCCCATCACTGGGGCTACTTTTCAGTTTAAAGGAATTATATATTTCTATCAAAATCATATATATTCAGAGCCTTAGCGTTAGTCTAGGTAGATTTATGTGTCGAGACGGAGAGTCGCTGACACACTACAGCAGTTGGTGTTTTCATGATCTCTATCTAATTTACAGTATATAGATAATATACGGGCGGCAAATGTATCCACCTGTGTTTGATGGTAGCTGACGATGAAAAGAAACGGTTTTACGATAGTGGTGTATTCAATACAGGCATCAAAGATGTATTTTGAACCTTCAGTTGACAGTTAGCCTTGCTCCAAGGCTGTACTGAATGCTGAGCCCATGGATGCATAATACTTCTATCCTATCAAGAAGCAAGTCTAGATAAGGGACAGTCAGGACCCCAGGCTGTTATTTATTATTTTTTTTAGAAATTTTCATTTAAACTATTAATTTTTGCAAGTCTAGTTGGCAGTGTTTCGGTGACCCTTGTTTTCTGTGGTACTGTCTTCAAAACGTTTATGTTTTTTCTCATATCCAGTTTTGAATACTTTACTTTCTTTTGTCCCACAAGTTAGATACAGTGAAATTACGTAAACGCGGGCCCCATTAACCCGGGAACCCCATTTAGCGGACGACTGTGTTGGGACTCTTAATGCGGACATTTGTTAATCCGGTCTTTTTTCCTCTGAAGAGTTCAGTCCGAAGTATCATTACAGTGAAACCCCGTTTATCCGGACGATGCGATTCATATTAATATACGGATTAACGTATTTCTGGATTAACGAATCTGGTAAATCGTATCATCGTATATACCTACATCACAGATTCTCACAGCTGTTCCTGCATAAAGCTTATAAAGGGGATACACTTATTTTGTACCGCGTTAATACCATTCGACATAACCGGAACTGCCGTTTTACGAACTTGACAAATGTTGCACATCAGGTCCATTCGACAGGTGAATATAGACACTAGATCATAAATCTGACTTACACATATAATCATAATTCCACTGTGATATTAAAGGACCCGGTGGGGTAGCCCAGTGGTCAAGCATTCGCTCGTCATGCTGGGGACCTGGGTTCAAGTCCCCATATGGGTACAATGTTTGAAGGCCATTAATGTTGTTCCCGCCATGATACAGTGGAATCTGTCAAATCCGGACTCTTTGTAAACCGGTTTTCTCCATAATCCGGATTTCTCTCTGCGAAGTCGGACGGATTACAGACTAAAATAACAGTCCGGTCAATAAACATTTCCGTTACTTCTGTTCTCAATGGTTAATTCATTCTATAAACACACATTATTTAATGTGATAACATGCAGTGTCTACGGTAACGGACAAAAGTTGACTAATCCGGACTGCTTTATAATCCGGACAAATGAGTCTGTCCCTAACCAGTCCGTAATAGACAGATTCCACTGTACTATGTACAGTAGTATTCCATAAAACAATACTCACGAGGTTTGAAGATCCATTGACACTGACCATGTTTTATGAAGAAATGGACAATATGATGAAAGAAGCGTTCGAGTGAGTATGGTTTTACGCCGCTTTTTGCAATATTCCAGCAATATCACGGCGGGGCACACCAGAAATGGGCTTCACACATTGTACCCATGTGGGGAATCGAACCCGGGTCTTCGGCATGACGAGCGAACGCTAGGCTACCCGCCCCAGACGAGTTCGACATAACCGTAGTTGACTGTTTAAAACGCTCATTACATAACAGTAGTGCCACGCGGTGATTCTAATACCAGGAAGTGACATAAATAGAACAAATAAATATAACATTTTCTGTGGATGCTTCTCAAATGACACGGCAAGAAATAAGACGTACGCTTAGTCGCTACATTTTACCAGCCATCACGTTATGTATACCTGAAGCTGCACGTGCTGGATGTAATTACAGGTGTAATCAATCCCCCGTAAGTGTAATGTCGAGGAGAACATGTGTCTGCAATAGTGATTACCGTTCCTCGCTTACATCACCCCGTTATAAAGATACTCCGTGCACTATGTAAGTGGCGAGGCTGATAGTGGTGAAGACGTTCACTCGCCTCCCAACTCAGCTTCCCTACAGTCTTATAAATACAACGGAACAGCTATTTGATATTTTGCCTGGGGCCTTTGGAAATAATATTTTGTTTCGGTAGCAGATACGCGTAAAATATAACTTAAACATAATATAACCTAAGATTGAACAAGGAAAAGAAAATTGTTAAATGTAGGCCAACGTTTTGGTGTTGTTGATTTATTTTGATGTATGGTTTAAAAAATGATCCAAAACACAACAAATAAAACAAATAAAACAACAATGCCATGACATCTGACATCATTGTGTCGAACACGGCGGGTCGTAACACGTAATCACTCGGCCACCCCCCTGCTTCTAATTGGTATTAAAGTTAGTTTGGATTAAACTGCAGGCAACCGTAGTAATAACGCATTTGCATGGAAACTACAGTCAAACTGAATAATATTTCACATACAGTTAAACCCCGTTTATCTGGAAACGTTGTTAGTATGGATCCCGTTTATCTTGAAACCTTGTTAGTATGGACACCGTTTATCCGGAAACCTCGTTAGTGCGGACCCCGTTTCGCATGAAAACTCTCGTCAGTACGGACCCCGTTTATCCGGAAATCCTGCTTTCCGATGAAAGTACTGTAAATAAAGTCGGTGTGATAGAAATCATCAGTAAACACAGTTAATCCGGACATCTGCAAATCTGATGGATTTCACGTTCAACAGGATCGTCCGCGTTGATGAGGTTACACTGTAGAAACATACATTATGTAAGAGTACTTGGTTTGGTTCCAACTGAGAGTTAGTCGTCAACCAACGCATACATGGCCATGAGGTTTATAGGGTGATAGAAAAGGATCTTTTCAAGCCTGACAGTTTTTCAACTGAAGGCTATTTGTACCGCTGGTGTGCCAAATATAGCCATCGAATAACGACACATGGTGTCAATATGAACACATTACCTTTGTGAATGAATACAGTGTTGCACGACCTAATTAAAGTGGCATAATTCATGGTAAGGGCGATGTTACTATGTAGTCAGGCCCTAACCCGTGATAAAGAACGGTGAAGTACTGGGTTGAAGTCTGGGTATGTTGAGCGTGTGTGTGAGAGAGAAGGAGACTTAGAGAGAACGATGGCATGAGAGGAACAGACAGGGATTGAGAGACAGAAACAGAGTGCAGGATAACAAGACCAAGAGAGGAAGTGAAATATAGGGATAGAGAGAACAGAGAAACTGACGAGAGAGTATTTCCACCCAAACATCCCCTGACACCCACGTGGGGTGTGAAACCTACCTCACCCCCCACCCAGAACCTACCCGCATCACACACATACTGCCTTGATGCAAACATACAAGCACAAATAGAATAAACAGCCGGGCAAAGGATTTAGTATACACACGTGTTGATGGCCGCCTCAAAATGAAAAAAATATGAAATTGTTATTCGATGGGAATGCGTTCAAAAAGGGTGGGGTGTGGAATTATACTTAGTCGTGTTCCGGTCACCGTTTTCAACCAACTAACGTTTAATAAAATTTGTATTTTGTAGTAAGTTCAATTTTCAAGTGCATATTCCTTTTGCCCGGTACTGTATTATAATACAATTTCAGTAGGTACAAGAGAACGTTATACATACACCGCCAGCAGGATGATTCCTAGCAGTAGCAGGATGAAGGACAGACACAGGATGGCTATCAGGACTTTGTGAGGAAGAATCCAGTCCTGTCCACCATAGCATCTCGGCTGCACCTGGACGTACGACATCGTCGACGGTATCCTTACAAACTCTCGTCACAGAACTGTCACAGAATATAATCCGCCACGGTAGTGTCAGACCTCATGTAATTTCCAAATAAAAACATTCCGAGGGGGAAAAGAGTCCCGTGAAGAAACTTGCTGCAACACCTGTGAACGGGCGTTACGACCACTGCTCTCGTTGTCCAATAATCCACGTAACGAGCAGTGAGTTGTGTACGGAGCTAGCATCACATTCCGGCAACACGGACCATCGCCATTCTACACAACTACCTGTTCAATATCACTCGCCAGGCGATCTCCGAGTCCAAGTGTTTACAAGCGAGGAATGAATCCTTATTTCAATTTATCTCAGTCGAGCATACCGTGCCGACATAGAGCTCACCACCTGTGAAGAACTCTCCTCACTTCCGTGTGCCTCACAATGTCGGGATGCCCGGCTCCGCTCCACACAAGTCCTCCCCACCCTCGCGCTCTCAACCCACACCTGCCTCCCGGGGAGACAGTGTTATTGACCTGAATCTCAAGCCTCGCTGTCCGGCGTTCCTCTGACCCTCCTGGTCAATCCCGTCTCACCTCCGCTATCACCGATACAACGATTACCGACAGCTTGGCTCTGGCTTCTACACACTGGGAATAACTCCGCACACAACTTCTTGGAAGATCACGTGACAAACAGAAAGTGGTAGGGAGAAACGTGATCCCGATGAAGAAATCTTGAGAGTCCTTACCGAGAGTGGAAGCTGATGCTTGGCTCGGGGCGGCGGTAGTACATTCTCAGTATAACCCAATCATCCAAACAAAGTACCCTCATTCACAGTTGCGTTTGTTTATAATAGTACCCATATGCTAGTCAACCTTGTATCTAAACCGTTTTGCCATTCCATTCCATTTGGGGAACTGTGTCATGGTGACAAGAGACAGGGGGTAACCTTCCCTCCCCTTCCCCCGGTCCCCGCTGATAATGAGGGGTGGGGGGTGCTGTAAGAACACGGCGTCGTTGATTCAGTTTGACAGCACACCAGACAGAAATGTACGGGCGAGGAATTCCTCTCGTAAGATGTTTATGTATAACGTAATGATAAATTCCCCACTGATTGCATTTTAATGGACTGTGTGTGTTGTGTGTGATGTGTGGACAGATGTGTGACTGTGTGTGAGTCTCGGGAGAGGGAAGGTGTTGACTGGTGGTGTGTAGTTTGTAGAGAGTGAGTGAGTTAAATTAAATTCACAACAGTATCATATAACGATGTGTGATGGGAGATCAGAGACAACGTGAAGAAAAGAGACCCAAACAGAGAGCTGTGCCACATCTAACATCTGTATCAATGTAACATCTCTCTCTCTCTCTCTCTCCCCTCTCTCTCCTCTCTCCCTCTCTCTCCCTCTCTCTCCCTGTCTCTCTCACTATCTCTCTCTCCTCTCTCTCTCCGTCTCCTCTCTCTCCCTCTCTCTCCTCTCTCTCCTCTCTCTCTCTCTCTCCCTCTCTCTCTCCCTCTCTCTCTCTCTCTCTCTCTCTCTCTCTCCTCTCTCTCTCTCTCCTCTCTCTCTCTCTCTCTCCCTCTCTCTCTCTCTCTCTCTCTCTCTCTCTCTCTCCTCTCTCTCTCCTCTCTCTCTCCCTCTCTCTCTCTCTCTCTCTCCCTCTCTCTCCTCCCTCTCTCTCTCCTCTCTCCTCTCTCTCTCTCTCTCTCTCTCTCTCTCTCTCTCCCTATACACACACAACACACACACACACGCATGCACACACACTACCTGCACATTAAATGTATTCACTTGAAGCACGCATGCACCATTAACACCTGCATTCGACTATAATGTACTACCTGCATTATTAAATTGTATTCGACTTCTGAAGGCACTACCTGCATTATTAAATTGTATTCGACTTGAAGGCACTACCTGCGCTACTAAATTTTTTCGATTCGACTTGCATTATTAAATTGTATTCGACTTGAAGGCACTACCTGCATTATCAAATTGTATCCGACTTGAAGGCCCTACTTGCATTATCAAATTATAATCGACTTGAAGGCACTACCTGCATTATCAAATTGTATTCGATTTGATGGCACTACCTGCATTATCAAAATGTATTCAATTTGAAGGCTCTTCCTGCACCATTACATTGTATTATATGCATGTAATCCACAAAAACACCATACCGAAAGTTTACATCTGTGTTCGACTATCGGGTCATACCTACATTATAAACATGTATTCGATTTGAGGAAGAGTAGCTGCCTTTTAAAATTGTGTGCGATTAGAAGGTCATTTGTGCATTTAAACTAAATCAATATTCGAGGTGAGGTATAGAATAATCTATTGCATGACCGCAGCTGTCACAGATCGGCACATAAAGATAGTCGAGTTATATTGACGAGTCGCTTTATTCAGTATTGATGGATTGACAATCTCTCTCTTGCGTATGTGTCAGTAACGCCCTTGGCCTCTCAACTCTGGGTATACCATATTGAAATGATGAAATCATTTGCATGTATTCCACCTGTACACATTATACTTCAAGGCGGATTCATCGTGTATATGTACTTGCAGATGTTACAACATCATCTTCGTGACGTTGCAACTAACTTGATGTTGAAACACCTCCTCCATATTCTTGCAACTGAAGTGGTTAAACCTGAACACACCCTGTGTTAGTCTGTCTCACAGTCTCTTAACCACATTATTTCCCCTACTGCCTAGCCCTCCCTGCAATGTAGTCTGTGTCACAGTCTCTGAAAAACATTATTTCCCTTACTGTCTAGCCCTCCCTGCAATGTAGTCTGTCTCACAGTCTCTGAACCACATTATTTCCCCTACTGCCTAGCCCTCCCTGCAATGTAGTCTGTGTCACAGTCTCTGAACCACATTATTTCCCTTACTGCCTAGCCCTCCCTGCAATGTAGTCTGTCTCACAGTCCTTGAACCACATTATTTCCCCTACTGCCTAGCCCTCCCTGCAATGTAGTCTGTCTCACAGTCCTTGAACCACATTATTTCCCTTACTGCCTAGCCCTCCCTACAATGTAGTCTGTGTCACAGTCTCTGAACCACATTATTTCCCCTACTGACTAGCCCTCCCTACAATGTAGTCTGTGTCACAGTCTCTGAACCACATTATTTCCCCTACTGCCTAGCCCTCCCTACAATGTAGTCTGTGTCACAGTCTCTGAACCACATTATTTCCCCTACTGCCTAGCCCTCCCTACAGTGTACAATGTAGTCTGTGTCACAGTCTCTGAACCACATTATTTCCCCTACTGCCTAGCCCTCCCTGCAATGTAGTCTGTGTCACAGTCTCTGAACCACATTATTTCCCCTACTGCCTAGCCCTCCCTGCAATGTAGTCTGTGTCACAGTCTCTGAACCACATTATTTCCCCTACTGCCTAGCCCTCCCTGCAATGTAGTCTGTGTCACAGTCTCTGAACCACATTATTTCCCTTACTGCTTAGCCCTCCTCCCTGCAATGTAGTCTGTGTCACAGTCTCTGAACCACATTATTTCCCTTACTGCCTAGCCCTCCCTGCAATGTAGTCTGTGTCACAGTCTCTGAACCACATTATTTCCCTTACTGCCTAGCCCTCCCTGCAATGTAGTCTGTGTCACAGTCTCTGAACCACATTATTTCCCTTACTGCTTAGCCCTCCCTGCAATGTAGTCTGTGTCACAGTCTCTGAACCACATTATTTCCCTGCTTACTGCTCCTAGCCCTCCCTGCAATGTAGTCTGTGTCACAGTCTCTCTGTGCACAGTATTTCCCACACTGCCTAGCCCTCCTGCAATGTAGTCTGTGTCACAGTCTCTGAACCACATTATTTCCCTTACTGTCTAGCCCTCCCTGCAATGTAGTCTGTGTCACAGTCTCTAAAGCACATTATTTCCTTACTGCCTAGCCCTCCCTGCAATGTAGTCTGTGTCACAGTCTCTGAACCACATTATTTCCCTTACTGCCTAGCCCTCCCTGCAATGTAGTCTGTGTCACAGTCTCTGAACCACATTATTTCCCTTACTGCCTAGCCCTCCCTGCAATGTAGTCTGTGTCACAGTCTCTGAACCACATTATTTCCCCTACTACCTCGCCCTCCCTGCAATGTAGTCTGTGTCACAGTCCCTGAACCACATTATTTCCCTTACTGCCTACCCCTCCCTGCAATGTAGTCTGTGTCACAGTCTCTGAACCACATTATTTCCCCTACTACCTAGCCCTCCCTGCAATGATAAAGCCCTAAATGAAGCAAGTCTAGACTTCCCCAGGTTCAGGACTCACTGGGACGCCTTTACAATTTTAGGGGTTTATTTGTTACTATCAAAATTATATATATTCAGTGACTAAGCGTTAATCTACATCTGTATGTGCTTGTAACTAAAGTGGTTAAACCAAAATACCATCATACATGCACATGCAACTAAAGTAGATAATGAAAACAAAATCCACAGGTATTTGCAACTAGAGTGATTAAAACAGAACAGCATCCACGTGTACTTGCAAGTAAAGTGGTTAAACACGAACACTACCTGCATGAACGTTTAAGTCTCACGTAACCCAGTTATTTTGCAGTAGGTTCCATGTTAATTCGCTTGCCACTTGTTAACCTACTGCTTGACTGAAGGAAGTTTTAAGTGTCTTCTAGTGTACGCGAGTGGTGAGGGCTGCAAAGTGGTAACCCTTCACCTGCTGCTAGGCTCCTGTCTAGACTAACGCTTAGTCTCTGAATATAAATTTGATTGTAACAAATTAACCCATTTAAATTGAAAAGAAGCCCCAGGGATACAAGAGATTCACAACCTGGGGAAATCTAGACTTGTTTCATTTAGGGCTTTAGCATTGCAGAGCGAGCTGGGCTGAAGGGAAAATAATATTGTTCAGGTACTGTGAGACAGACCAGACTCCTGTCCTGTGATAGTTATTATGTCAGGGACGAGACGCGGGACTACACCTCGGGAAACACAACACCGTCTGTAGAACATTGTCAGTGTGATCTAACATGACCTCACTGCTTTCCCTGTTGTAATCTGCCCCAGGTCGTAACGCGCGAACCCGTGAAGATCCGGGTTAGAATTGGTCTTCAGTAACCCATGCTTGTCGTAAGAGGCGACTAACGGGATCGGGTGGTCAGGCTCGCTGACTTGGTTGACACATGTCATCGTATCCCTATTGCGTAGAACCGCCTCCGTGGTGTAGTGGTTAGAGCGTCCGCCCGGAGAGGAAGGTCACGGGTTCGATCCCCGACCGCGTCATACCAAAAGACGTTAAAATATGGTACTTGTTGGTCCCTGCCTGGCGCTCGGCATTAATGGGTACAACAAGGACTGGTCGGCTCGGAGTGAGTATAATGTGTCTGAGTGGGGTTCTGATGCTTCATTGCGGCATGGTATCTCAGTGGGCTAGCATTATGAAACCAGCTTCAATCTGGGCTAGTACAAGCAGCTGCACATACACATACACACGCATGCACGTCGTCATATGAGCGAAATATTCTCAAGCACGACGTTAAACCCAATTTCACCTCACCTCAATTGCGTAGATCGATGTTCATGCTGTTGATCACTGGAATGTCTGGTCCAGACTCGACTTGGTTGACACTACATACCCCAACAGCGCAGATCGATGTTCATGCTGTTGATCACTGGATTGTCTGGTCAAGACGCGAGTATTTACAGAAGGCCACCATACAGCTGGAATATTGCTGAGTGAGGTTTTAAACAAGAAACAAGAAACCAACGGGCGCTAAATATAAAGGGCAGGGCGCTGAATAAAAGGGCAGGGCCCTGCCAAATATGCCTGGAGGAAACACTACAACCGTAACGCGCGAGACCACAGGGGCTGGTCACGCAAACAAATACATGTACGAGGGTCGAT